CAGTCCTCTGCCAAAGTACATCTGCGCACAAAAGGGCCTAAAGTTTGCCATGCGTCAGTTTTTGCCTTCGCTATTGAAATATGAGGACTTGAATTTTCAAGACTATAGCACTGTTTTTGTAACTGGCTTAACTTTACTGAAACAGCACATTTGAAATCATCAAAGTACACGTAAGTAATTAAGCAGTCATTTGAGCCCAGTTTAAAAGTTTCTTCAAATTCATAATCAGGGCTATGGTGTAAATGACACATACAATGCAGGTCCTCAGCTTTCATTATATCAGATTTTGGATTAAGAAATGGAGATGTAGCCTCCATCAAATAGCTGGCGCTGGCGGGGTGAGCCCACCATTGATAAACAGACAGTGGACAGTTTGTGTTTACTTTGACAAAATTAGTCGCGCACCCGCCTCTGTCTATTTTAAGGCCTTCTGCTGTCGATGTGATCACAACTTCCCATTTTATGATTAAATCACGGCCTAACAAGTTTATAGGACAAAGGTCAGACATCAAAAATGAATGTTTCGCTGTTACTGAGTTACTCCCGTTTGCCCAAGTGCATTTGATTGGAACAGAAACATTTTCTGGCACTGTTTGTCCGCTCGCACTTGTGGAAAAAACACTTCTCCCACTTAGTTTGATTGAGAGCTCTTTTGTCTGAATCACACTGTGGGTTGCGCCGGAGTCGACCAAAAAAGTGATCGGTTTCCCCTCAATTTCACAAACAATAGTTGGCATTTTCCTGTAAGCTTCATTTTCATAAGCTAAGTAGGTCCCTGTTTTGGGCCTGTCACCGTCCTCTAGCTCCCTGATTCTGTCCTGAATTAAGGCAAGCATTGAATCAGTAGCAAGCGCGTCTTCATTGCAGTTAGCAGTTAGTGTGTTGAGTGTAAGAGTGTGTGGTGTGTTACTCATCTGTACAGTTGCCTCGGGCCCCGCATCAATATGTCAATCTGAAGAAAATCTTGACTGGTCCCCCGGTCTCGCACCCCGTCCACGGCCATTCCAGCGTCCCGCGTCTCGGCGTGGCTGGGGACAGTCACGATTCCAATGTCCAATTTCACCACAGTTGAAACATTTGTTGAAATGGCCGTTGCCACCTCTTCTCCGTCCTCTGCCTCCTCGGCGGAACTGTTTGCCTGTTATTTTGATCAATGTGAGATTGGCTTGATGCTGGGCCTTCTCCTGCGCGCCAGCTTTCACAGCGTTCTCCTCAGTGTTCTTTATCTCTGCATGCTTAGCGTGTCTGAGGATTTCTGGCATGTAAAGTCTTTCCATCTCTCAGTGTCATGCCATTGTCATTGTCCAGTGTAACTTTACTCAGATCATGCGTGACAGAGTGGATGAAGCCGCTGCGGTCTGGTCAGGTGCGGCCTCTCTGTGACTTGCTCCAGCCAGGAGGGGAGGGGCGGGGGCAGATGCGGAGGCTCCCGCTGCGGTGAAGAACAGCGGTGGGAGGTCTGCTGCTGTTGCTGCTGCTGCTGGGTCTGGTTGATACTGCGGGTGTGGGAGAGGGGGGTACAGCGGTGTCCAATTGTTTGAGTTCCTGCGTCCACACTGATGCGAGCTCCGAGGTGGTGAAAAACTCGACAGAAAAGCAGAAGGAGAATGATCAGTTGCAAATTCTACCTTTTCCTCACGTTCTGACTTTTTCTGCTTACTATCCCTAAACTTAGCCTCAGCCATCCAAACATTCAAACATCGTTTGTGTTCATCCAAACAGTTCAGATCTTTCACACGCACTGTCTTTCCCTTTTTTAGTTGTGCTTCTTTTCCATCTAATTTCCCTTTGATTTTGTCCAACTGGTTTAGACTGAAAGAGCCACTTTTGGGAAATCCCAATTCAGCCACCCACATTTCAACACATTTTTTAAGTTCATCACCATGTTTCTTTCTCATCAAAGTCATGCATGGTGAGTCCCAAACTGGTGATTCTGTGCCTTTTCTTCTAAGCCACATGGCTGGGTCTGAGACTCGAACTCAGATCTAGTACAAGTCTCGAACACTGTACACAAACAGAGACTCTAACTCTGCCCAGGACTCTAACCTAGGATTTACAAGCAAACAGGACTCTAACCTGTTCTACAACCAGGGACTCGAACCCAAAACTAAGACTTTAACTTAGATTTCAGACAGGACTCTAACCTGCTGTCACAAGCAAACAGGACTCTAACCTGTTCTACAACCAGGGACTCGAACCCCAGACTAAGACTTGAACTTAGATTTCAGACAGGACTCTAACCTGCTGTCACAAGCAAACAGGACTCTAACCTGTTCTACAACCAGGGACTCGAACCCCAGACTAAGACTTGAACTTAGATTTCAGACAGGACTCTAACCTGCTGTCACAAGCAAACAGGACTCTAACCTGTTGCACAACCAGACAGGACTCTAACCTGCTGTCACAAGCAAACAGGACTCTAACCTGTTCTACAACCAGGGACTCGAACCCCACACTAAGACTCGAACTTAGATTTCAGACAGGACTCTAACCTGCTGTCACAAGCAAACAGGACTCTAACCTGTTCTACAACCAGGGACTCGAACCCCAGACTAAGACTTGAACTTAGATTTCAGACAGGACTCTAACCTGCTGTCACAAGCAAACAGGACTCTAACCTGTTGCACAACCAGGGACTTGAACCCCAGACTAAGACTTTAACTTAGATTTCAGACAGGACTCAAACCTGCTGTCACAAGCAAACAGGACTCTAACCTGTTGCACAACCAGGGACTTGAACCCCAGACTAAGACTTTAACTTAGATTTCAGACAGGACTCGAACCTGCTGTCACAAGCAAACAGGACTCTAACCTGTTGCACAATCAGACAGGACTCTAACCTGTTGTCACAACCGAGGACTTGAACCCCAGACTAAGACTCAAGCTTAGATTTTAGACAGGACTCGAACCTGTGTCACAACTGAAGACTCGAACTTCAGCCTAAGACTCTAACTTAGGATTTCCAACAGCCTGGATTAGAATGAGCAGCTCCGTCACCAGCCTGGCACTCCCACATGCATTCACACTGTAGTAGTAGTAGTAGTAATCTTTATTTATATACCGCCTTTTCACTGCAGATCTGAGTCTCAAAGCGGTTTACAATTGTTAATTTTGGGCATTTGTCTCTCACTCCACACAGAGATGGGAGCGGGGTCGCCAGTACAGGAGGCGCATGCTAGAACTATTGGACATATTTTTAGTGGTAGGGGAAACCGGAGTACCCGGAGGAAACCTACGCAGACACGGGGAGAACATGCAAAATCCACTCAGAAAGGCCCTGGTCCGACCAGGATTCGAACCCAGGACCTTCTTGCTGAGAGGCGAGAGTGCTATCCACTCAGCCACACTGCACCACAAGCACCCCTCGGATCCAACTAGAAGTATAGCAAGTCAAAATATTTTAACAATTTACCGTTTGTTCTTTGAGGTGAGTGTTAAAATTCCGAGGTGACGGTTGAAACCCAGCATGTCCGGTTGGTCCGCCTGTCCAGAGTGTGGGAAAGCGACGAGATTGATTTAAATCCCGGGTGATCAGCCCCCAAGCCGGACCTGTGTGTTCCAACGATCAGCCTTCAGGAAACCACTTCTGACACCAAATTGTAGTGGAAATTTAAATACTTCAATGAATGAATCCGAGGGAAAACAGCTTGTCTTTGTGCAATTTATTTAAAAGGTGATGAGAATAACAAATACAATAAAACTCTGCAGAGTGAGACAGAAGCGGCGCGAGGATTTAGTCTTTATTTCCTTAAAGACTAAAACAACACTAGTCAAAGACGAAGGGGCTGTCCTCAAGCCTGAGGAGGCTCAGAAAACAAAACTTTACAATAAACTAGAAAACAGTCGGTTTATTTCTGTACATTTGTTTTATCAGGCTTCTTCCCCCATTGAGGTGATGTTCCACGTCCCAACAGCCAGATGGTGTATCTGCGGACGGGGTTGTCGAGGTCTCTGCTTTCAACTGCCATCCAGTCCTCTCTGGCCTGTCATGGATCTCTATGTGGGGGCTGGCCCACGTCGTTGATTCGGGTTGAGACCGGCCAGGTCCCGGGGACAAAAGCCCCGCCACCAGACGCTCGCCTACAAGCCTCACCCCCAGGCCTGGCACCAGGGTGGGGCCCACGTCATACCGGGCGGCGTCACGGTTCTTCTTGTAATGCTTTCTATGGTGGTTTCGGACTGCGCTTGTCTGACTCGTCACCCGAGACCTGTCTGCCATGGGAGGCCCTACCAGGGGCATGAAGCCCCAGACAACATAGCTCCAAGGATCATCCGAGTACTCAAACTCCCCCACCACGTTAAGGTGGCAGTCCACGGGGGAGATTACACACCGAAGTTTAAAGCCAATTTAATCAAATTCCCAAAGATACCCAAAAGAAGCCAGAATTTAGCAGAATTTAGAATTTAGTTATTATCATTATATAAAGACTGTAAAAAATATAGTTATTATTTCTAGTCTTTGTCCTTTGCTGCTCTTAAAAACTCTTTGGGAACCGTTTGCAGTGTTCTCAGGGTCATTGTCACAAAATTTGAGTTTTGTCCAATTCAGAAATTGGACAAAACTCAAATTGACAAAGACTCAGGGCCCACTGCTCACTTTCCCAAAGCGTCTCAGAGTCTACAGCATCACATGTCATGTCGATGTCCAAACCGATCCAGAAAGGGCAGCTGTGGCTGCAGGTTTTCTATCAGACCCAGGAGGAGCAGAGCTGACTCCACTCATTTCCTCAAGTGAGTTCAGTCTTAACCTGAAGATTTGAAGAAATGAGTGGAGTCTGCTCTGCTCCTCCTGGGTCTGATAGAACCCTGCAGCCACAGCTTCCCTTTCTGGATCGGTTTGGACACATCACATGTGATGCTGTAGACTCTGAATGTTAAGCAACAAAGTCTAAAGTGATTCACTTAAGTGAACACTGCCCATGCACATAAGTTATGTGAACAGGCATTGTTCACCTGATCCCCCAAACAGGAGGAATGAATCCACCAGAACCGACCACCGCTTAATAAGGAGAGAGGTCGGTAAACGTCTGAAATCCAAACGTCTCTGTGGCATAAAAAGAAAGGCTGTATCCCAGGGCCACTACCGCCAGACTGGCTACAGCCCCCTTCTTTGCCACAGTTTTGAATCTACTCCAGAAGCTACAATCTTCCCCCATGCTTGCCTGGAGCAGAGTGGGCTCTGCAGACTCTCCAGTGTCCATCTCTTCGCTGGTCAGGATCTGCACAGCGGTTTCCACATGAGTGGGGTCCGTCTGAACCCCCTTCTCCTGAATCGGGAGCGATCCTATCGAGATTTGGAATTTGGCAGATAAGTAATGGAAGTCCTCTGTGTATCCCTGCTTCATCATCTGAAACTTCTCCTCCTGACTGGAAATCTCCGCCTCTTTATCCACAACGACAGCTTTCAGTCGCTGGTTCTCGATTCGGAGAAAGTTAACCTCCTCCTTCTCTGTGGTAAAATTCATATTGTTAATGAAGTCATTCAAATGCAGGACTTACCATTTTCCTGTGTTGAATCCGTACTGGTGGTCCAAGTCTGCCTTAAGCTGTCTGGGGCAGGTGACATCATCAGTTGCCATAGCAATACGTGACATCAGGGGATTCCATCGTGGTTACCACAACAACGCACGTTCTTAGAATGTGACTGGTGTTCTCAGAACATTTGCACTTTGGAGAATGGAGTCATTTGTTTGTGTTAACAAATAATTACTGTATGAGATTGTGTGTTAAGCACTTCGGTCGACTTGATTGTTTTTAAAGTGCTCCACAAATAAAGTAGGATATGACTAATAATAGCACTTTAAGACTAATTGTAAAAATAGTTTATGTTCAATATTATTTATATTTGTACAAATGGTCATATAGTTTTTCTTACTTTTTCAAATAAATGAAGATGTGACAGGACCTCGCTGCTCGACAGCAACACAATCCACAATTCAAGTCATTATCATTTTATCCAACATTTTTTAAAGGACAACTCACCCTCAAATCCACTTTTTTTTTTACTGATAAACGGTATAAATGAGTGTCCAATAGTGTTGTCTACATATCCTGGTCATAATTTTGTCACTTTGGTGCAAATTAGTTGAAAGTTAAACTTTCTGCCTAAAACCGTCTGTGAGGCGCCATCTGCTGGCGACCTGTATTACTACATTTGAATTTTGAATCTGGCGCCAACACTGGCGCGCCAGCAAGACCTGACGTCTGAAGCAAGACCTGACGTCAGCAGCCCCCCGCCCAGAGCTATATAAACGGCCCAGTCTCGTTCACGCCCCCTTTAGTCCTCCAGGCTACGCCCATTTAGAGGAAGATTTGAACAGGAAATGTGAGTGACGTAAGCTCCGAGGAGCGGGGGTGAGAACCACTTTAAAGGAAAACCAAACACCTGTGCCCAGCCTGACTCCGCCAGGAGGAGTCTTCCAACAGCACGTATCACTAGAATTATTGACAATTAGGAGGATCAATAGTCTTGATGATCCACCCGGAAGTAGAAAATCCCCCTACTGTACCTTTAAATAACAAGCTCTCTCGGCTCTCTCTGGTCTCTCTCTCTGATCTCACTCTCTGGTCTCTCTCTGATCTCGCTCTCTGGTGTCTCTGGTCTCTCTCTGATCTCGCTCTCTGGTCTCTCTCTCTGATCTCGCTCTCTGGTCGTCTCTCTGATCTCGCTCTCTGGTGTCTCTGGTCTCTCTCTGATCTCGCTCTCTGGTCTCTCTCTCTGATCTCACTCTCTGGTCTCTCTCTCTGGTCTCTCTCTGATCTCGCTCTCTGGTCTCTCTCTGATCTCGCTCTCTGGTCTCTCTCTCTGATCTCACTCTCTGGTCTCTCTCTCTGATCTTGCTCTCTGGTCTCTCTCTCTGATTTCACTCTCTGGTCTCTCTCTCTGATCTCACTCTCTGATCTCGCTCTCTGGTCTCTCTGGTCTCCCTGAAGACATGCACTCATGTTGGCACATGGGGGGTCTAATGTTACCGGTTTGGCAAAAAAAATCATAAAATTAATGTTTCAAAAAGGTCCGATGCACGCAGTCTCTATATCGCCCTTATTTGCAAAGCCTATGGGAGCCAGACACGCATATTTTAGCCTAGGTACACGAAATTCAGATGAGTGAAAGATCTCTAAGAGATGAGCCTAATTCTCACCCTATGATGGGTGATATGTCCCCTTTAAAGTATTAAGGTTTTATCAGGAGTTTTCATTAAAAAATAAATCCATAAACTCAATGTTTTTTTCAGTTCATTCTTTGTTTCAATGTATCAGTACAGAAACAATATAAAAAAGTGATACTTCCCCTCAGAAAGTTCAGTTTCAGGATCTTTGTGATCGCCAAAGCCCACACCTCTGCTGTGACTCATGTAGAAAACACATTTAAAATGCAGATATTAAAGTATTGCACTGTATTTCAACAAAGAGTCTGTTTAGATCAGTTAATGTAGTTGATGTTGCTTTGTCAGATCATTTCTGTGTATTTTTTGACATGTGTTTTGCTAGCAAACCACCAGCTGAATTTACAACTGTTAGAAGAAGACACATACATGAAAACACAAGTGAACTGTTCATGGGAATGCTAAATTTTGAGAAAACTCCATGCTCTACTGTTGATGAATTGTATAACTCTGTCACCACCAGTGTTCTGACTGTTCTGGACGCCATTGCTCCTGTGACGGTTAAAATAGTTACCAGTAAGAAAAAGGCCCCATGGACTAAGGCAGACTCGGTTAGGGCACAGAAGCAAGAGTGCCGGAGGGCCGAACGGAAGTGGCGAAAGTCCAATTTCCAGGGCGATTATGAAATCTTTAAAGATGAGTTGGGTGAATTTAACCGGGTTCTACGAAGAACAAGAGAAATGTATTTTTCTGACATTATTGGAGGTTGCAGTAACAATTTTCGTGTTATGTTTTCAACAGTTGGTAGATTAACGAACCCCCCTGTAAAGTTGCCCCTAGAATTTTCCTCTAAATCTAGGTGTAATGAGTTCGCACAGTTTTTCGATGACAAAGTACAAGGAATCAAAAACACTATCACCTCCACAGCACGTATAACAATGCAACAGCCAGAGAAGCTTTTTGAGCTAACTCACTTTGCACCTGTGGATACTGAAACTGTCAAAAAGATAATCATGAGTCTGAGCTCCTCCACATGTAGCCTGGATATATTGCCCTCTAAATTTCTGAAGTCCGTCCTGAGCAGTTTGTTACCTTCACTGACACAAATAGTAAACATGTCTCTGTCGTCAGGAACATTTCCTATGGCCCTAAAAACAGCAGTCATAAGACCTCTCCTAAAAAAGAGCAGTCTGGATCCTGCGGGACTTCAAAATTATCGCCCCATATCGAATCTGCCATTCATTGGAAAAATTCTTGAAAAAGTGGCCTCCCAACAACTTACTGAATTTTTAACAATGAATAATTCTTTTGATATGTTCCAGTCTGGGTTTAGACCCCACCACAGCACTGAGACCGCTCTAGTGAAGGTAACAAACGACATTCGACTTCACACTGATGCAGGTAAAGTCACAGTTTTGGTCATGTTAGATCTTAGTGCCGCGTTCGACACTGTCGACCATGAGATCCTCATGCAGAGACTGGAGGACTGGGTTGGTGTCACTGGCACAGCCCTAGACTGGTTTAGGTCTTACCTGGAGGATAGGAAGTACTTTGTGGAGATTGGAGACTGCGTCTCAGATCATGTGGCCCTGACCTGTGGAGTACCACAGGGGTCGATCCTGGGACCTCTCCTATTTAATCTCTACATGCTGCCGTTAGGTCAGTTAATACAAAGAAACAAAGTGTCCTACCACAATTACGCCGACGACACTCAGATCTATGTCTCACTGACTGCAGGAGAACATGGACCACTGGATTTGCTCCTTCACTGTATCCAACAGATCAGTGAGTGGATGCAAAATAATTTCCTCCAGCTAAATGCAGACAAAACCGAAATCATTGTCTTTGGTCCCCAGAAACAAAGAGGGCGTCATCTGTCAACTTCAGTCTCTCTCCCTACTTCCTTCAGACAAGGTCAGAAATTTGGGGGTAATACTGGACTCAGACCTAAATTTCAATAGCCACATAAAATCAATAACATCAACAGCTTTTTACCATCTGAAGAACATTGCCAAAGTCAGAAATATAGTGTCCAGGGCAGACTTGGAGATTCTTGTCCACGCATTTGTCTCCAGCAGGCTAGACTACTGCAATGGCCTGCTTACAGGTCTGTCCAAACAGACCTGTAAGCAGCTGCAGTACATCCAAAATGCAGCAGCTAGAGTCCTGACAGGAACCAGGAAGTATGACCATATTAGTCCGGTCCTCAGGTCTCTGCACTGGCTTCCTGTGGCTCAAAGAATAGATTTTAAAACGCTCTGCTTGTGTACAAGTCTCTCCATGGCCTTGCACCAGAATACATTAGTGACATGTTGGTGTCATATGAACCAGCCCGGACTCTGAGGAGCACAGGGACTGGCCTCCTGCTGGTGCCCAGAGTGAGAACCAAACATGGGGAGGCTGCGTTTCAGATCCATGCAGCTAAGATCTGGAACAATCTCCCTGAAAATGTGAGGGAGGCGTCTACTCTGTCAATGTTCAAATCCAGGTTAAAGACTGTTCTGTTTGCCTGTGCATACAACTGAAGGATTTTATCTCCATTTTAATGCACTGCTGTCATTTATTTATTTTTTTAAATTTCTTGTGTAACTTTTGAAAGTGTTAATGGTTTTATTCTTTTGTGTGATTTTAATGTTTTTATTGTGTTTTAATCTTTTGTGTGATTTTAATGTTTTAATTGTGATTCTGGTGTTTGTTTTATGTGATGATTTGTGATGTGGACTGTGAAGCGCTTTGTGTTGCCCTGTGCATGAAAGGCGCTCTACAAATAAACTTTGATTGATTGATTGATTGATAACGGATAAAGAAAGTTATATTGAATTGAATATTACTGACTACTATACTATACACTCTATTCCCGGTCAGAACAGAGCTTTTCTGATTGGAGTTTACATGTTCTCCCCGTGTCTGCTCCGGTTTCCTCCGGGTGCTCCGGTTTCCCCTACCACTAAAAACATGTACAATAGGTCTGAATGTAAGAGTGAGTGAATGGATGGTGTTGTCGGGGGCTTTGATGCATCAGTGTGTTCGGCGTCTCACTTCTGTCCTCACCGTGTGTGGAGAGAATGGAACAAAATATGATTTCTGAACATTGTATAGTGCTTTGGGTGACCTTGGTCTATAAAATGCGCCATATAAACATTACTACACACACACGTGCGCACACATGTGAATGAAGCAACGTATGTATTTAGAGGTGCTTACTGCTTAGTTCTTTATTCCCAAAAGACATTCTGTGAAAACACACTGATTACAGGGTGTCAGCTAAATCGTTGCTTCCTTCTCTATTTGCTTCCTTTGCTTTTTGCTGAAATATTACTTTTCTGAATTTCAGAGGTATCCATTTCATATAGTGACCCCACCCAGGAGTTCACTGGTCAGTGATTCTGTCGTCAAAGGTGACGATGTGAAAGGGAGCAGTGGGTTTCTTTGTGGCTCAGACAACACCTTTCTTTCGGATACGGCTCAAGAGGTAACAGTGAAATAACATGAATTTGAACATGAACGAATGAAACCTTTCTTTCCCCAATGCAATCTTATTGTTTTTTTATTCAACCAGGAAAGAACCTCTTTTTCAAGGGAGTCCTGGACAAAAGTTACATACAATTACAGATTATAAAAACAGTTACTTGCAATGACAGATTATAAAAAAGTCACATACAATTTAGTAACATTATGGATTATAAAACAGTTACATTTCAATGAGGACGTCTCAGTCTCAATCTGGATCTAAAAGAATTCAATGAAATATATTCAGATAACTTCCAGTGTTTTTGCAACATGTTCCATGTAGAAGGAGCAGCAAATACAAAAGTTCGGTGCAAAAGGAACAGAGAGCAACAAAATATCATTTGATCCAAACCATAAGAACCAACATCTCTTTGTGTGAGCGAATGGCAGATGTAAGACAATGTAAGGTTTCATGGTGGGCTTGAACCCAAGACCATCCAGCTCTACCAACTGAGCAGGCTTCTTCCCCCATTGAGGTGATGTTCCACGTCCCAACAGCCAGATGGTGTATCTGCGGACGGGGTTGTCGAGGTCTCTGCTTTCAACTGCCATCCAGTCCTCTCTGGCCTGTCATGGATCTCTCTGTGGGGGCTGGCCCACGTCGTTGATTCGGGTTGAGACCGGCCAGGTCCCGGGGACAAAAGCCCCGCCGCCAGACGCTCGCCTACAAGCCTCACCCCCAGACCTGGCACCAGGGTGGGGCCCACGTCATACCGGGCGGCGTCACGGTTCTTCTTGTAATGCTTTCTATGGTGGTTTCGGACTGCGCTTTGTCTGACTCGTCACTCGAGACCTGTCTGCCATGGGAGGCCCTACCAGGGGCATGAAGCCCCAGACAACATAGCTCCAAGGATCATCCGAGTACTCAAACTCCCCCACCACGTTAAGGTGGCAGTCCACGGGGGAGATTACACACCGAAGTTTAAAGCCAATTTAATCAAATTCCCAAAGATACCCAAAAGAAGCCAGAATGTAGCAGAATTTAGAATTTAGTTATTATCATTATACAAAGACTGTAAAAAATATAGTTATTATTTCTAGTCTTTGTCCTTTGCTGCTCTTAAAAACTCCTTGGGAACCGTTTGCAGTGTTCTCAGGGTCATTGTCACAAAATTTGAGTTTTGTCCAATTCAGAAATTGGACAAAACTCAAATTGACAAAGACTCAGGGCCCAATGCTCACTTTCCCAAAGCGTCTCAGAGTCTACAGCATCACATGTGATGTCGGTGTCCAAACCGATCCAGAAAGGGCAGCTGTGGCTGCAGGTTTTCTATCAGACCCAGGAGGAGCAGAGCTGACTCCACTCATTTCCTCAAGTGAGTTCAGTCTTAACCTGAAGATTTGAAGAAATGAGTGGAGTCTGCTCTGCTCCTCCTGGGTCTGATAGAACCCTGCAGCCACAGCTTCCCTTTCTGGATCGGTTTGGACACATCACATGTGATGCTGTAGACTCTGAACGTTAAGCAACAAAGTCTAAAGTGATTCACTTAAGTGAACACTGCCCATGCACATAAGTTATGTGAACAGGCACTGTTCACCTGATCCCCCAAACAGGAGGAGTGAATCCACCAGAACCGACCACCGCTTAATAAGGGGGGAGGTTGGTAAACGTCTGAAATCCAAACGTCTCTGTGGCATAAAAAGAAAGGCTGTATCCCAGGGCCACTACCGCCAGACTGGCTACAGCCACCTTCTTTGCCACAGTTTTGAATCTACTCCAGAAGCTACAATCTTCCCCCATGCTTGCCTGGAGCAGAGTGGGCTCTGCAGACTCTCCAGTGTCCATCTCTTCGCTGGTCAGGGTCTGCACAGCGGTTTCCACATGAGTGGGGTCCGTCTGAACCCCCTTCTCCTGAATCGGGAGCGATCCTATCGAGATTTGGAATTTGGCAGATAAGTAATGGAAGTCCTCTGTGTATCCCTGCTTCATCATCTGAAACTTCTCCTCCTGACTGGAAATCTCCACCTCTTTATCCACAACGACAGCTTTCAGTTGCTGGTTCTCGATTCGGAGAAAGTTAACCTCCTCCTTCTATGTGGTAAAATTCATATTGTTAATGAAGTCATTCAAATGCAGGACTTACCATTTTCCTGTGTTGAATCTGTACTGGTGGCCCAAGTCTGCCTTAAGCTGTCTGGGGCAGGTGACATCATCAGTTGCCATAGCAATACGTGACATCAGGGGATTCCATCGTGGTTACCACAACAACGCACGTTCTTAGAATGTGACTGGTGTTCTCAGAACATTTGCACTTTGGAGAATGGAGTCATTTGTTTGTGTTAACAAATAATTACTGTATGAGATTGTGTGTTAAGCACTTCGGTCGACTTGATTGTTTTTAAAGTGCTCCACAAATAAAGTAGGATATGACTAATAATAGCACTTTAAGACTAATTGTAAAAATAGTTTATGTTCAATATTATTTATATTTGTATAAATGGTCATATAGTTTTTCTTACTTTTTCAAATAAATGAAGATGTGACAGGACCTCGCTGCTCGACAGCAACACAATCCACAATTCAAGTCATTATCATTTTATCCAACATTTCTTAAAGGACAACTCACCCTCAAATCCACTTTTTTTTACTGATAAACGGTATAAATGAGTGTCCAATAGTGTTGTCTACATATCCTGGTCATAATTGTGTCACTTTGGTGCAAATTAGTTGAAAGTTAAACTTTCTGCCTAAAACCGTCTGTGAGGCGCCATCTGCTGGCGACCTGTATTACTACATTTGAATTTTGAATCTGGCGCAAACACTGGCGCGGCAGCAAGACCTGACGTCTGAAGCAAGACCTGACGTCAGCAGCCCCCCGCCCAGAGCTATATAAACGGCCCAGTCTCGTTCACGCCCCCTTTAGTCCTCGAGGCTACGCCCATTTAGAGGAAGATTTGAACAGGAAATGTGAGTGACGTAAGCTCCGAGGAGCGGGGGTGAGAACCACTTTAAAGGAAAACCAAACACCTGTGCCCAGCCTGACTCCGCCAAGAGGAGTCTTCCAACAGCACGTATCACTAGAATTATTGACAATTAGGAGGACCAATAGTCTTGATGATCCACCCGGAAGTAGAAAATCCCCCTACTGTACCTTTAAATAACAAGCTCTCTCGGCTCTCTCTGGTCTCTCTCTCTGATCTCACTCTCTGGTCTCTCTCTCTGGTCTCTCTCTCTGGTCTCTCTCTGATCTCGCTCTCTGGTGTCTCTGGTCTCTCTCTGATCTCGCTCTCTGGTCTCTCTCTCTGATCTCGCTCTCTGGTCTCTCTCTCTGATCTCACTCTCTGGTCTCTCTCTGATTTCAGTCTCTGGTCTCTCTCTCTCTGATCTCGCTCTCTGGTCTCTCTCTCTGATCTCACTCTCTGGTCTCTCTCTCTGATCTCGCTCTCTGGTCTCTCTCTCTGATTTCACTCTCTGGTCTCTCTCTCTCTGATCTCACTCTCTGATCTCGCTCTCTGGTCTCTCTGGTCTCCCTGAAGACATGCACTCATGTTGGCACATGGGGGTCTAATGTTACCGGTTTGGCAAAAAAAATCATAACATTAATGTTTCAAAAAGGTCCGATGCACGCAGTCTCTATATCGCCCTTATTTGCAAAGCCTATGGGAGCCAGACACGCATATTTTAGCCTAGGTACACGAAATTCAGATGAGTGACAGATCTCTAAGAGACGAGCCTAATTCTCACCCTATGATGGGTGATATGTCCCCTTTAAAGTATTAAGGTTTTCTCAGGAGTTTTCATAAAAAAATAAATCCATAAACTCAATGTTTTTTTCAGTTCATTCTTTGTTTCAATGTATCAGTACAGAAACAATATAAAAAAGTGATACTTCCCCTCAGAAAGTTCAGTTTCAGGATCTTTGTGATCGCCAAAACCCACACCTCTGCTGTGACTCATGTAGAAAACACATTTAAAATCCAGATATTAAAGTATTGCACTGTATTTCAACAAAGAGTCTGTTTAGATCAGGAAATGTCATTCTCATATAAAAATGTGTCCTCTGTATTTCATGTTACAATAAACAAATTAATTGATTAAAGGCCAGTAAGTAAGTTCTAGTAAGGCTACTTAGTAAGTAAGTATTTCATACTGCCTATAGTGCACTTTAGTTGTATTTTCTATTCTATATCATGTGTTTGTGTTTGTTTGGACTTCCACAGGCCATCCATCTGCAAATGAACTTCCTAACGGATAAAGAAAGTTATTTGAATTGAATATTACTGACTACTATACTATACACTCTATTCCCGGTCAGAACAGAGCTTTTCTGATTGGAGTTTACATGTTCTCCCCGTGTCTGCTCCGGTTTCCTCCGGGTGCTCCGGTTTCCCCTACCACTAAAAACATGTACAATAGGTCTGAATGTAAGAGTGAGTGAATGGATGGTGTTGTCGGGGGCTTTGATGCATCAGTGTGTTCGGCGTCTCACTTCTGTCCTCACCGTGTGTGGAGAGAATGGAACAAAATATGATTTCTGAACATTGTATAGTGCTTTGGGTGACCTTGGTCTATAAAATGCGCCATATAAACATTACTACACACACACGTGCGCACACATGTGAATGAAGCAACGTATGTATTTAGAGGTGCTTACTGCTTAGTTCTTTATTCCCAAAAGACATTATGTGAAAACACACAGATTACAGGGTGTCAGCTAAATCGTTGCTTCCTTCTCTATTTGCTTCCTTTGCTTTTTGCTGAAATATTACTTTTCTGAATTTCAGAGGAATCCATTTCATATAGTGACCCCCACCCAGGAGTTCACTGGTCAGTGATTCTGTTGTCAAAGGTGACGATGTGAAAGGGAGCAGTGGGTTTCTTTGTGGCTCAGACAACACCTTTCTTTCGGATACGGCTCCAGAGGTAACAGTGAAATAACATGAATTTGAACATGAACGAATGAAACCGTTCTTTCCCCAATGCAATCTTATTGTTTTTTTATTCAACCAGGAAAGAACCTCTTTTTCAAGGGAGTCCTGGACAAAAGTTACATACAATTACAGATTATAAAAACAGTTACTTGCAATGACAGATTATAAAAAAGTCACATACAATTTAGTAACATTATGGATTATAAAAACAGTTACCTTTCAATGAGGACGTCTCAGTCTCAATCTGGATCTAAAAGAATTTGATATTGGAATGTAACTTAAGTTATCATTTTGGTAAATCATATGTGGCTATGTGCTGAATGCTCTGTATTGTAATTCACTTTAGCTTCAGGAAGACACCGGGAGGTCTGGGGAGCTCATATGCTAAGTGTCTTTTGTTGTGTTGGTTTCTTCCTTTCCCATCTGCATACGAAGGTGTGTCTTGTTCTACCAAAAGGGGCTTGCAGACTGTGGATCTTCAGACTTGTCCTGAGAGAGGCTAGGGTCTGTGCCTTGCCTCTGTCAAGACATTCTCCTTGTGCAATGTAAAAGATTAACTTTGTCTCTTTGTTGTGTGAGATTTCATCAGGTTCAACTGTAGTTGAAACAGCATTATCACTTGGTCCTTCGAATCCGGATCCCAACACTTCTTACAGGAGCTGAGCTTGTCTCAAACATGGACTTCCAGGAGCAACAACAAGGCCTTCTGCATTCGGAACTGCATTGGAACTCCGGGTTTGAGGCAGGACAGCCCTGGGTTGGAGTCGACGGGAGAACTACAGTTTTTTCCTGATGAAATCGCAACAAAGGCAAGTTCTGTACACTCTAAATTATGTCCAAAAGTAATCCAGGAAGTAGTGTGAAGTTCACATTAACACAATCATTTAGGAAAACGCAGAAATTATGCCTGAGTCTGGGACTTTATTACACTACGAATTATGTCCGGGACTAATTCAAGAGAGTAGTGTGGAGCTCGATGAACGGGGCGTTCATTTAGGATAACACAGAGTTATGACTTTAGTCAAGGACTTTTACAGAGCTCGAATAAACGGGGTTTCATTCAAAAGGGTAACACAGAGTTACGCCTGTATGATGAATGTGTTAGAATTGAATTACTTCAGACTGAACTTCTACATTACTTCTAAACTGAAATTGGACATTTATAGACATCTAAATAAGCTACATTGAAATTGGATGTTTAAAGACCTCTAATTACTCAAAATTTGGAATTGGACATTGCAGAAAGTAGATAGACCGCCATTTTGGGTGGCCATGTGGTCCTTTGTCCTCTGGCCATATGTTTCTTTGTTTGTCTGTGTCCTTCTTTGTTCTGTGTGTCCTCTTCGTTTCCCTTTGTCAAAGTTTTCTTGGTTTAGAATTACCCTTCACCTTATGTTTTGATTCTGAAATGTATTAACAAATGTGCTTCTTATTTTTGAGAAAAATGCCACATCCTTGCCAAAGCTTCAAAGCAACAAAATCCACCTATTTTCCATTGTGGGACAGAAAACCAACCCCATCGCAATCTCCATACAGCCATCGACACCTACGAAACGACCCCCCCCCCCCCTGCACTGGAAGCTGCTGGCGAATAATCACGGGCCGATTTGCAAGGATCAAAGCGCGCAGGCCCACGGAGGGCGCTGGCCGTTTGTTCAAGTTAAATGGACGTTAGAATTGAAGGTGACATCTTGGTACATTTGCGACTTGAAAGTTCAGGTTTGTGTCGCTGTTGGAGAACGGCTTGCTGCTAGTCTTGCGTCGGAAACGCAGACAGAGAAGAGTTTCGAAACAGGAACAGAGTGGACATTTCAGGTCATAACCAAACATGAGGAGGGGTCGAGAGGAAGTGTCAAATGGACTGACTATGGACTGTGAAAATGGACTTTGGGTTTTCGGGCTTTTGGGCGTGTGCGTGGTGTTGAATTTGATAACCAAAGTTAATACATTTCAAGTTAATACATTGTTCAGTTTTGAGCCATGTATGTCTCAATAGGGGGAATAGTTTATGGAACAACAATATGAAATTATACTATGAACTTTTTTTCTTTTTCAGTT